TTGAATTTGTAAGTCAACATTAGCATGTCTCGAAAGTATTATTTGTTCTTGTAATTAAAAAGGAAATTTCCCTATATATAGTGTGTCCTTTAAAAGTGCGGCTGGTTTAGCGGCTTTTACTAAAGCATAGTTAGTCTGTTGGGTTGAAGAAAAGTCGCTCTGCTTAATTGGTTCAACAAAAATGGCTAAAATTATATTTGTGGTTTTATTATTCCTCGTGTTTTCCCCGTTATCAATTGGCGGACCACTGCCCGATGCAAGTACGTTGTTCACACACGATTAACTGTTTCCGTTTTTACATTTCTGAATTCAAAAGGTTAGTGTTTGACCTGTATCAATAAACGGTCAGAATTTTTTTTTTCGAATCGTGTAGGTAGCAATTCCAACTCCAATACTTTCGAAGATGATGGTGGAACGGATGTCATGACTGAAATAGCGATCGTTAATGAAGGTTTGGTTTCCAGTGTAAAATTGTAATCTCACTAAGATATTGTGCTACGAGATCTAGAGAATGAAACAGTTACATCACCGTCTTAACTGCCTTGCCAACCAGGTTGCGTTTTAAAAATATTTAATAAAATATAATAAAAAGTGTATATCTCAGATAATTAGTAATTAATGATTAATTTTAACGTGTTTTTATTGGGATTTGTCGCATGTCCATGGACCTTGCTATGGTAACCCACAAGAGTTTCTAAATCTTTTTTAAAAGATTGATTTCGAAACTTATTTTGTAGAAAATGATCTTAATCTTTTTGAAAGTGACATCGTCCTCCATAAAGAGGAAAATACGGTAACAAAAAGGAATGCTCGCAGGTCAAGGAAGTTTTTATGGCAAAACAAAAAAGTACCGTATGAGATAACCCAGGAGTTAAGTACGTCAACTTCTCAAAATCGAGCCAAGTTCTTCTAAAACCTAATTTTTATTTTTGTCTGAACGGGTACATGTGGCCACATCAAGATAGCTGCATGCTCTACTCAAATTATTCTTCTCTTCAGTTGACAGTTGGTACGGACCGACAATTTTAAAAGCTATCGATGAATTTCACCGGCACACTTGTGTCCAGTTTGTTTCTCATACGAATGAAAAAAACTGGATCCAATTTGTTAAAGAAAAAGGGTACGTGCTTTCTTGCCTGCACTTGAGACAATCTTTAACAATCTCGTAGAAAGTTAAAGGGGGGAATATGAATATTAAAACATTTTTACATTGTGCAGTTGCTGGTCATCGGTTGGTCAAAATTACTGGATGTCAGGTCCCCAGAAGTTGTCTCTTGGTGCTGGCTGTAACATGACAGCTACTGTTATGCATGAGTTACTTCATGCCCTGGGTTTCTGGCACGAACAATCAAGAGCTGATCGGAATAATTACGTTGAAATTTTTTGGGAAAACATCCGAGAAGGTTTTTTCATTACATTCTCTGCGTCATTTGGCATTTTGGGTGCGAAACTTTACGTTTTCTCAATTTGTTTGATCAACGACATTGTTTTATTAGGAAAGGAGCACAATTTTATGAAGGAAAATTATTTCACAGTCGACCATCAAGACAAACCGTACGACTTTCAGTCCTTGATGCATTATGGAAACTCGTATTTCTCGAAGAACGGCATGGACACCATTCGCTCGATAATACAAACGGATCTTAAATTGGGGCAAAGAAATGGTTTTTCTCAACTAGATATTGACGAAGTTAATGACTTGTATGATTGTAACTGTGCGTATCTCTCTTGCATGATGATATTCATGTTCTAAACTACAGCTGCACATTTTAACAATTGCAAACTTCAGACACGTTTTGCCCATTTCATTTTTCATTTTCTACACAAAGCAATTCTTGTTGTTGATGGTTTAATTTTTTTGTAATCAGAAGAGATAGCTGCAGTTGCATTTTCTCTTTCCTTGTAGCGACGAATGTCGGCTGGAGTTCCTGGTCAACGTTCACCCCTTGTGATGCCGGCTGTAAGAAGAAACGAGAGAGGTTTTGTACCTCGTCAAATCCTTCTAAAGATTGCCCTGGTACAATTTCTCATGGAGTGGAAGAGGAGATTGTCGTGTGTAGCGTGGTGGAGTGTAATGGTGGGTAGTAGGTTGTATTTGAGTTGATGGATAGCTTCATGTTTTCGCATGAAGTCACCTCATTCCACGTTCAAACGTTTGACAGCTCCGATTGCTGGACACTGGGGAAGATGGTCATCGTGGAGTTCATGTAGCACGCGATGTGGACCTGGGACCAGGTCACGTGCGCGCACATGTGATGACCCCGTGCCAAGGAATGGCGGGAAAAATTGCGTCGGCGATGGGAAGGAAGAGAATCCGTGCGTATTCCAGTCTTGTGGCTTAGGTAGGATCCTGGACACCTGTTTTGTTGTTTAATTGCGGATTTCAATAAGTTTCACCTGAGCTTTCCTTGAGTTGGACTTCATCACTACTGACAAAGATTACTATCAATGGACACCGCGGAAATTGGTATAGGCTTAGCCGCAATTCTCGATACTTAGACTTCAAACTTGGTGAGGAAAAAGATTTATAAATATTCAAGAAAATATGTCTTGCACAAAAGATTTGAAGCTTGCTCACGGTAAAAACGAATCGTCTGAATTAATAACCTTGTGTATACTTTAAGCCTCAAAATGGCCATTTCACAGCGGTCAGATGTGTTTGATGAGCTGTCAAAAGATTGCAGAATGCGTATTCAGAAGAAAAATTGAACTTTTTTAAGATATTCAAAAGGTTTCTCTTTGATAGGGCGATACAGAAATGCACAATTGTGAACCAGCGATTAGATTTTCGGGTTGAAACGTCTTAAACACCAATTTCTGCGGTGTCCTATCAATGGAGGTTGTTGGTCTCGAATAGCAATAATAAATCTGCTTTTCCCTTGAAGAAGCAAGCGTTTTCCACATTTCCCAGGGGAAGGGTGGGTAAGAAAAATTAAAACGCTTCAGTGTTTTAAAATAGCAAAATTATTTTTGTTCTGTGGAAGGACCGGATGATTGTGAGTTTGAAGTGGATGCAAATGGTTTTTGCGGTTGGACGCAAGATGTCAATGATAACTTGGACTGGAAACGTAGTCAAGGGCCCACACCCAGCTCACAAACTGGACCTGTGGCAGACCACACAAGTGGTGGGGGTGAGGAACTGCTCTATTTACTTGCATTTCCTTTCTGCATAGAAGACTTTTATCACGTTTTTCAACCGCACTTATTGAATTAATAAAATATGCAAATAATTTTAGTCGTTCCTGTAATTCGTATAAGTCAGTTTTATTTCGCCAATATTTCTTCTTAACTTCTCCCTAAGCTAACTTTCTTCTGATTCCCCCAAAACACGCAGTGAAACTGATCAATACCAGACTCGAAATGCATTAGTTTTTATCCACCATCAACACAACAAATATAAATTTTCTAGGCCACTATTTATTCATCGAATCATCTTCGCCAGCCAGGACGGGGCACAAGGCACGCTTGATCAGTAAAACATTCTCAGGATCCAACCAATCAATTTGCTTTATACTCTCCTATAATATGTACGGAAGTGGTATGGGATCGCTGAATATCTACCTAAGTAACGCTGAAGGAAAGAAGTTGGTGTTTTCAAAAGTAGGAGATCAAGGGAAACAGTGGCAAACAGTTCATTTAGATCTGAGCAGCACCAGTGACTATCATGTATGTAAAACTAACGTAATTTATACAGGAAAGACAGTCCTCTGTGCGGTGAACTCGAGTGTCAAAGTCTCGCTCCATTAAGCCACTTTTCATATTTCTTTTACCGCTCTTTACAGGTGATTATCGAAGGTGTTCGTGGTATGAACTTCCGTAGTGATATAGCCATTGATGACATTACTTTTATACATGATTCATGCAGCGATACTCCGAGTAAGTCATATTATATAAGCCGGAAAATGGCGTATTCGACTATGGTCGAGTCCGCCGGAAAATGGCGCATTCGACCATGGTCGAGTCGGCCGGAAAATGGTAATCAATTCAACCGTATTTTTCAGTGAGGAATCTTGGTTGCTATCGTGATGATACACGACCTCTTGATGATCATTTTAAAAACATTCGGAGTAATATAGATTGGTTTGATATGAGTAAGACTATCGTAGACTGTGCGAAAGCAGCTAAAGAGAATGGCTACAAGGTTTGTGTTTATAGTTGCAATGGAAAAATTCGGCATCAACAATAAGTCTGAGTGATATTCGTCCATTGCGCGATGGAGCTCAATGACGTCCACGACAAGTATATTTTTCTTTATCATTTTTTTTTTTAAAAAATTATGTCCTAAAAGGTATTTGGTGTGGAGTTTTATGGCGAATGCTGGTCCTCGGATAAAGCTAAAGATATTTACAACAGAGATGGCCGTAGTAATGAATGTTGGCATGGTGTTGGAAAAGAATGGGCATTTCAAGCATATGAACTGCTGTAGACGTAAGTGGATAAGTCCCAAGTTTGTTGCTGGAGTGAAACTCTTTTCTTAACTTCTTGTAGTAGAAGAAATTAAGTAAATGCTTAATATATTTTTTGCCGGAATAATCTAGAATTTACACAACTATTGAGAAAAACGAAATAGCCTTTGTATAATGTTTCCTTTATTTATTCGTTTTAGAAACGTCTTGTCATGCAGTTGAACACTCGAAAAAGATGAATCATGAAAAGTGTAAATTTCACTGTTCAATAGTTTATTCCAAGTAAAAATGATTTAATTCTAAAAAATAAAATACAGATATAATAGAATATAGATAAATATGGAATTGTAGGTGTGAAAAACTTCAATAAATATGTTAGAATATTCTCACAAATATCGCATGTCATTTATATATATTACATATTCTGCATACGACTGGAAATATTTTTTTGACATGCAGGTATATATGATGGCATTTCTAAATATAGTGAATACTACATCTTCACTGATTTGCAAATGAGTATGCAAAATATATTGACGCTTTTCAATACCGCTACATATTAATTAACAAAAATTGAATCGACGAAATAAAAGTTTGATTGCCAGCAATGAGAGCCAATATCGTATTAAACACAGTCTACGGAAGTATGTTCTAAGCTTCCCTGTGGCTTTGCTTCTTAAAATGCAGGCTGACTTCTCGTTTTCCGAAGTGAATTTAATTGTTTATCCGCAATGATCAGTTTCCCGAATATATTGTCTATTTTCATCGTACTGTATTGGCAAGAATGCAATCGCCCAACCACAGGATATTATTTGGATAATGGCAAAATTGAAGGACAGCAATTCTCGAGTATCTGGCCAGAGGTGAAGGTTCCTAATGCATACACAGGCCAGTTCTATCGAACTACTATTGCATCGTCAAGTCTACGTGATTACAATATACGATTCTTGGTAAGTCAGGACATGTCATTCTAATCGTACGTTGTATAATATTAGTAATTTAACCAATTTGTATAACGATGCATGTAAGTAATTATGCCATATATGAAATGACCGACGTATTTTCAGATAGATAAAAATGAAATGGACTTAGGAATTGAACTCGTATTCTGCTCAAATCAAGTTGCTCTGTTATTTCGCAACTTTTGCATAATTTTCGCTTCAAGAATATGCTAAAACATTTTATGAGATAAAGCACAGAAAAGACAAGAAATATACAACTTCTTTATAATGTTTTGCAATTTTTATTGAATTGAGCTGAAGCAACAAGCAATTTTAGAATTAACTTTATTTCCTAAAGTGTAGACGCTGAATCAGGTATATTGTTTACAAGCTATCTGATTAAACAGAAACATTCTTATATAGTTACGCTTTTGGAGTATGGGTTTTGTACATGCGATAGTTATGTATGCAAACATTCTGACAACTGTCTATCTATTTTCTATTATAATCCATTCAGTTTTTCCTCTGTTTTAAAGCAAAAATGTGTAGACTCGCGTTGTAAATCGTAGTAAAAGGACTGTCAAAGTGACCGGTACCTGGGGCTACCTGCTAAGTTGATTAACATGATTTCTGGTTAACTATATCAGTGTAGTTTGGTCGTCGTTAAATATGTAACGTGGCATTTCAATTTTTGCTTTCAATTTAACTACGCATAAATCTTGTTTTTTATCATCCTTGTACTTGTAGTTTAATTCATTTTAAACGACCATGCACGCAAAAAAATAAGATTTTCTCACTACGGTGAAAATAAGAAAACCGTGAATAGTTTTCTTAAAAATTTCTGGTCCCCAGTTGTTGGAAAAGTCTATTTCTTCCGTGTCATGTGTAAAGTCTCCTAGTCAACGTTGGGTTTTCTGAATTGTTTTAAGGTATCTGCAGTTGGCTCTCAGAACCTTCCCAAATGGCTCACCTACGACGATGAAGATTATTCATTAACGGGAATACCATTATCTTCCGATGCTGGTTCCTACCAGTTATTTGTTGTTGCAATGCGATGCAATAAAACATCGCGGACCACTGAAAACGAACTACTTGGCGCACAGAATTTTGAAATCAATGTTTTACGAAGCCAAAACCTCTCCTACTGTAATAACAACGCAAATTTCATTGCGACACAAGTATCTCTTTCTGTGAACGCGACCCAATTGAATTCGACACAAAGGATTGAGCTTTTTCATTGGTTTGTAACAGAGTTTGATCTTTCTGCTAATCGCACTGCCTCGCTTTATTTCAAGCATGAATATGAACCAAAAAACATCAGTCATACTGGCTGTGATATATTGGAAACGTTTGAAGCAAATACGAGTTATTCCGGGCCTGTGTTGACAATCTCGTGGCTTGAAGGATGTGATTTGAATGTCTCTACTAATATGTCAGATATAACTGCGAGACTCAATAGAACTGTCCTTGACTATCCCGTGTTTTCTTGGAAAGTTTTAAATGGAAATGACAGCACTTCATGTTTGTTGGGTGTACAGAGAAGTATCGTTGCATCTTCCGCTGATTTTGATGCACACCGAAGTACTACTGCCTCCCTTATTCATCATAGCATGTTGGTAAGATACGTATCAGTTCAAATAACTAACGTCACAACTACAACGCCATCATCGTCTGTGCTATCAGCAATTGACCAAGAGAAACCATCCTTTGTTTCATCTCTGGGAATTTCCACTTCAATAAACGCAGCGTCTCCACACCCAGTTGTTATTAATACCACTCCACGCTTCAATTCAACAAATCCGCTACACGGGATGTCCATCTCTTCTACTCTATATCGTATATCTACAAGAACCAGCCTGGTTCATATTAATATATCACCATCAAAAAGCGAAGTTGTTCTAAAAACTACCCACTCAACTTCTCTGGCTGTAAATACTGATCCAGTCGTACAGCGTCCCTTAGCAACCCTCAACATCACCTCTTGTCAATACTTGTACTACAAGATCCCAAAGGATACGTTTTGGGATAAAGAAGATGGCAACAACCTAACCTTACGGCTGCTTACGGAGAGTTTCCGTGAACTCTCGATTGACTCCTGGGTCAGCTTCGATCCCACTCGTAATATCGTGTACGGTATACCAGTCTCTCCGGAAATTTTTGCCAATAACCTTACGCGAGTTGATTTCGAATATATATTGTCAGCAGTTGACAGCAGTGGTCGTGAGGTAAACGCAAGTCTAACTTTGACGGTATACGACGACCACACCCCATCGGGTCAAGAAATTTCAATAGAAGTTAGAGACGCTTTGACCCAGTTCAATCTCGTGCGGCTTTTTGAAGATATCATCGGGTATTTGTACAATGGTGACAAGTCAACTATGAAAATTTTAAATCTTAACCAAACTTCAACAAAAACACAGCTAACATGGAGTGATTGTAAAGCCGTTACAGACGTGTGTGATGCCAGACGAGTAGAGAGAACTTTAAATTTAATCAGAATTGACGAGAGCTTCCTAAATCCACATTTTGTTATCGCCCTAGTTCCTAATGTCTTGCTCGATGCTCGTGCTAAAAAGTTAGGCATGTGTTTAAACGAAGCACCCGTGGCCAGAGGGGAGGATATACGTCTGAATATCACTTGTTGTGAGAGGTTCAGTTACGCCATTCCACCTGATCTATTCCACGACAAAGAAGACGGCAATACTCGAAATCTTTCGCTTAGCATTCGTTACACGAGTGCTTCACGATCACCTTCAGAAACTTGGATCATGCTGAACGACACTGCAAAAACCATAGAGGGTGTAATTGCTCTCGACGAAGCACAGAAACGCTCTGGCCTTGTCTTTGAACAATTTTACATTATCGCTACTGATTCTGGTAGACTTGAAGCCAATGCTTCCGTCACAATAACTGTCTTGCAACCATTGCCTACCTCCAACTACCAAGTCTCACTTTTTCTAAAGCGTCTTCACTCGTTTTCAACCCAACTCGAAGAAATACTTAACATTATTCAAAAATTGAGTTTATACTTTAAAGGTGTGACATCGGATGAGGTTCGTGTTTTGTCGTATTCCCGAGAAAATACCGTCACTGTATTTAAGTGGTCTCTAGCAGGACTACGACTCAAGCCATGCGACTCGCTCGCTATTGCAAACATATCACAGAAACTGAAAGCTGCCGATGGCCGGTTAAGGATGATTTGATGATCATGATGCCAGAGTTTTGAGGTTCAATTCATCTTTGAGGAAGAAGGCATTGCAAGGAAGGCGCCAATGAACCACCAAATGTTCTTATTCCTGTGCATAATTTACGTTTAAATCTGACGTATTTTGAATATAAAGTTCCAGTGCTCACTTTCAATGATCTTGAAGATGGAATACAAGAAACCTGAAATTGTCTTTGTTGTTGTCTTCGCTTGAACCGCTCTCTGCTGACTCGTGGATCGTGTTTGAACCCCTCGTAGACAAGCCATATATGGATTGCCTGATGAAGCTGCCCTTCAGGCACAGCCCAGTGGCGGGTACCGTTACGTGCTTGTTGGTCAGGACAGTGGCGGAAGAATTGCAAGTTCTGTTGTAGTTGTTTATCTTCCAGAGACTGCTCAGCCTTATAATTATCGTATTTCCGCCAATCTCCGCAGTTATATTGACGCCTCACTGCCGTGCGTGGATCACGTTATTGAATTTCTGAAGAAACTAAGTCTATTTCTTGGTGAAGATACAGATCGTATTCGAGTAATCTCCTACAATATTTCAAAGACGTATCCAGCTGACGTCACCGTTTCTTGGACCAATCAAAGCGCTAATTTTAACACATGTGATCACAAAATGATCCGAGACAGATTCAAGCAAATTACCAATCCCGAAGGTGGAGTGACTCAATCGTTTTCCGAAGCTTTGCTACCATATTTTCTTGTGCAAGAGATCAGATTAGAATTCCTGGAAACGTGTAATTATATATTCTCAAATACTCCACCAGTCCTGTTATCACCTGTGAAATCTCTAAATATCCTTCTCTATCAAGCACTACGATTCCAGCTGCCAGCTAACTTGTTTTATGACAAAGAAGACGGGTATACAAAGAATCTCTCGGTGACTGCTCTAGATCAGTTTTTCAAACCGTTTAACAGGTCTTCATGGATTCAATTTGACGCAACGACTCAACAGCTCTATGCCTTGCCAACGTCAATTGTTGCTAAGGAACAACCAACCGACGGCTACGACATAAACATCGTTGCCATGGATAGCCACTCCAACACGGCAAATGCTACCATACGCATCATTGTTAATGACACCTTTGATGCTGTGAATTTCGTGATGGAATTCAATATGGCTTACAATACCAGCCAGAAATATCAAGATATTGACTTAGTATTAAAATTTCTAGACAAGGTAAAGGCTTTCTTAGGAAACTCTGGTATTATTGTCACGAGTTACTTCAAGGGCAATACGACTTTAAGGGTTGGAATATCAGCAATGAACTTTCGTGGACTTGAATGTAATTTCGCAGAACTCCAGGAGATCAGGCGCCATTTATTGCTCCAAGAAAACAGCAGTGAAATTGTGGGAGGGAGAATGAATTCTACGAAACCTCGCCATAACTTTCAACCAAGTAAAAACTTTACCAGAGCGATGGAGCCAGATTTTCTAATATTAGGTGTAACGGAATACAAAACAGGTAAATATTGCAAGTAACTTCATAACACTTATGACTTCATAACAATTGTAACTTATTTACATGGATTTGGTTAAAAAGACTAATTTATTTCATCGTTTCAGGATCTTGTTCCAACACACCGCCGATTCTTCTTCATCCAATCCCACATTTTGTCATTCCAACACACGGATTCTTTTCCATCGTTCTACCAGTAAGAACATTTTATGATGCAGAAGACGGATTCACTTCTAATCTCAGTCTTACCATGTTCAGTTCATCTGGGAATATTCTACCACCGGAAAGTTGGTTGCAATTTAATGACACCACGGACGAACTATACGGAGTTGTTACAAATAGAATAAAGCCAAACGAGAACTACACATTCCTTTTGAAAGCTGAAGACAGTTATGGCTTGAAAGCAAACGCAAGTTTCACTGTAGAGCTCACTTCGAGGCTTCAAAACATTGGTTTTAAAATGAACGTAATATTTAGAAGTAATTTCTCGTCCATCGTTTTTCATGTCGATATCATGAGACTTTTTCTTTTTAAAGCAACAAGTTATTTTGGTGGAAATATCAGCCTCGAGGTCTTATCCTACGAACGAGGTTCTGGTGTACCATCTACTGATATCCTATCCTGGAGTGTTTCAGAACTGGATTACGAGAATTGTGATCTGCCGCTTCTGCACGAAATTTCCGAGAAGGCGCGCTCCGACAATAATCATCCAAATGCCGAATTCGGACGGGCATTGCTTCCGGAGTTTGAAATATTGATAGTGTTTGAACAGAGGCTGGGATCTTGCGCAGATGCACTAAACTCTTTACCAACGGTGGTCGTTCCAACTCTGAGTTTAAACGTCACCACAATTCCAACAGTTTTTCATTACGAAGTTCCAAGAAATGTGTTTTCAGACGCAGAAGATGGGGACACCAGGAACCTAATTTTGACATTGTTGGATGAGGATAACAAAGTGGTTCTAAGAAACTCATCTTTACAGCTCGACCAATCCCTACAAGTGTTGTATGGGATTTTCACAGAGAGTGATTTGAGGACAAATTCTCGTGTCGTGAAAAGGGACATAAGTTCTAATTCAATTTCCATGAGATTTACCTTACTAGCAACAGATAGTGGTGGAAAGACAGCCAGTAGTCTCCTTAATATAAATCTTGAAAACAACATTATATCACAAAACTTTGAATTATATTTGACCTTCACGAGTTATCTTAGCTCAACCTCGCCTGACGTCAAACATCTTATAAATTTCCAGGAGAAATTAAATGGTTTTGGAGCCTTTCGTGGGATGCAAGTCACGAGCTATGTGAGATCCTCAGGTTATCCTGCGAAATTCCAGGCTGGTTTTATTAACTCGACCTCAGATGTCAATCAAAGTGTCTGTGATTTCTCGGTAATTTCTGGAGTAACAAATACATTTCAAGATTCTTCAAAGAATCTCAAAAGCGAGTTTACTGCAAGATTCCTACCGGAATTCGTTGTTCAGGAATCGTACATTCAAAGACATGGGCCTTGTCTGAATCCTCCAAATAACCCGCCAAGAGTCGCCAAGGTAATTCCTACAATTGACATAACAATTTGTGAAATATTGAAATTTCAAATACCGGAGGATACGTTTCATGACGAAGACGGCAACACCAGAAACTTGAGTCTGAATTTGGAAAGTGTTTTACCTCAAAATTCAGAGTGGGTATATTTCGATCATCTCTCGCAAATAATTTACGCTGTTCCAACATTAAATGCTGTTGCTAACCAGCCTGATGGTGGATCAATCTTTAAGCTGACTGCGGTAGACTCGCATGGAAGAAACGCATCAATAGATTTGATTGTGTCAGTGAAGGATACAATTCTTCGGGACAGCTACAGGACAAGTGCTATTGTTCAAGTCCCTTCATTGGTTCTCTCGAAAGAAAATCTAGTTCTAAAAACAATCGAATTTGTCGAGGCAACTGAACGCTATCTTGATAGCTCAATGAGAAATGAAATTCGTGTTGCAGAGTTTACCAAGATTTCACAATCATTGTTGAAAGTTGTGTGGTCCTACTGCTCTCTTCGTTACTCGCCGTGTGATTATCAGAACATCGAAAGAATCCGACAAGCGACGATTCATAGCGGAACCTTACCACATCCAAGATTCATCCAATCCCTTGCCCCGGCGTTGATCGTGGATAGCGTGGAAGACGAGATGCGTGGGCCGTGTTTGAACCAACGACCTACGGTGTTGCATCAGTTGGAACGACTCAATATAACCCTGTGTAGCAGCCTTTTAAAATACCCCATTCCCTACAACACATTCTTTGATAAAGAGGACGGGTACACTCCAAACTTGACTCTATCTTTATTGTCCTCAACATCTACTCCTCTGAGCGACAACTACTGGATTACACTGGACCATTCTCAAACTATCGTAGCGTACCCGAATGTGGATGCTTTCAAATCCCAACCGAAATCTGGGTACGAGTTTTTAATAAACGCCAGGGACAAATACGGCTTGAGTACGAATTTACCCATAAAGATTTTCCACAAAGGTGAGATACCACAGAGTACATACGAGGTCACGTTGGTATTACAAGCAAAGTTTGGAAATATGAGCCGTTCTGTTGATCAAATGAGGATTATATTGCCAGCTCTAGCAGGCTTCATGGGTGGAACTGAGCATTTAATTCGCGCACATTCGTTTCTACGCTCTGGTGTGAATTCTACAACATCTTTCTTCACTTGGAGTAACTGCAGTCTGGACCCCAGTGGCTGTGACATACTAGGAATCACAGAGATTTCAAAACGTTTAAGGAACGATGGGAAAATATCAGAACAACTTAGGGAAGCTTTTCGCCCAAACTTCGACGTGCAATTTGTGTTTGAGCAAAGATTTGGATCATGTGTTGATGATACTAACCATCAACCCAAAGCTAAACACTCTCTTTACCAGCTAACGATTAAGAACTTTTGCGGAGTGTGGCAGTTTCAAATACCGTCTGATTTCTTTCATGACACTGAAGATGGCGGAACAAGAAACCTGACACTTTCGTTAAAAACAATCCACTCGCTTGAAATCAGCACCGATTCGTGGATTCAACTGAAGCAGGAAAACCAGACCTTGTACGGGTTTCCTGCTATGAGCAATTCCAGTAATTCAAGTACTACGACCAGGGAGGTGTACATCTTGATAGCAGGGGATTCACAGGGAAAGTTTGCGACAATGAGGCTGGAGATTATCTTTGGTGATAGAACTCCAGATGTCCATTACGGAGTGTTGATAAAAATGTCTAGTTATGTCGCAGAAAGCATTGCTGATGTGTATCACTTGAAGTACTTCGTTGAGAAGCTTGCATTATTCTTAAAAGCCGAGACGAGATCGATAATGGTGACCAAGTATTGTAGAAAGACTTCAGCCAGTAATTCGAGGTTATCTGTGACGTGGACAAACTGCTCGGTTGCTGCGAATTCGTGCGATTCAAACCAAATTAGGATAATTAGCGAGAAGTTTAACTTGAACACAGGCGATGTGGATCGGACCTTTTCTCAATCTATGCTTCCATATTTTGTTCCCAATTTTATTACCTTGGAAAAGTATGGTCTGTGTAGAATCGAGGCAGAGAAATCGCCTCCTAGACTTCTTAGACCAATTGGTAGAATATTCGCTTACTCTGGTGGCTTATTGACATATGCCCTTCCGAAGGATGCATTTGTGGATAGCGAAGATGGCAACGCCTTGAATCTCTCGTTGAAAATGCAGTTTACTAACAAAGTCACCGTTCCAGCTTCCTATTGGTTGAAATTTGATAACGTCAGTCTGGTTATATCAGGTGTCTTATTGGTGGAGAACGCTTGGAAAAACTCGTTTCGATTGGTTGCCCGTGATCAACATGGTAACGAAGCCGTTGATATTTTCGAGGTATTCCTAGAACAAAGATGCCGCCCAAACCTGCTCAGTTATAAAGTTTTCTCTGAAGTTGTTTACGCAGGGAATAAAGAGGATATAAATCAAAGATTTCTTCAAAAATTGGAAATGTATTTTCAAACTTGGTTAACTGACACAAACTTTACGATCCTTTCTACGACATCAGAAGGCAACAATTCGTTTAGTATTGTTTGGAGCCATGCAAGAACCTGCGGTGTTTGCTTCAAAGTGAATGCGACGCTTCAGTCGCTTTCCGAGAAAATGACGGACAGCAATGGCAGCGCCTTAACAGGATTCAAGGCCGCACTTTTACCTACGTTCGTGTTAGTGAATATATCTGAAGAAAAATGCCAGGCAAAACCCGGAGTTCTTGAAAATGTGGTAAAAGGTGGTGAAAAGGATAGATGGAAACTGTACATTGTTCCTATAGTCGTTCTTTTGATATTTTTGTTGTTTTCATTTATATTCTTCATTTGTCGGTGTGTTGTATTTCCGTACGAGAGCAAAAAGCAGGAAGTTATTTTAGCCGACTCACCAGACAATGAGATTCATGTCACTGATAGAATAAGCCGCAGCAATGCTTCTCTGTACAACAGCGCATCAACAACAATCATAAACGACGGTTACCTTGGAAGCAATCACGCAATCGACCTACCCGAGATCTTCCTTGATAAGAGAGTCTCGCCTTCAAAATCAAGCCTGACAACTGACCTGTCCTCGGGTCCAATTCAGAGCGATAAGCCAACTTCGACGCGCGATGTTGTCGAGCCTGAGCCTGTATTAGTTCCTACACCGCCGCTATACAGCGATGCCGCGGTACACTTGGCAACCAAACCTGATCGGAAGCCTAGGGAGAGACACCAAGCAAATTCTGCCATTGAAATGCACGAGATACCCGTGATCAAACGCGAAGTTGCGCCGTCCAGTGAAGCTATTCCGGATCATCAATCGGAAGTAGACGGACGACCACCGGTGGAAATGATTCAAGCGACTCGTAAACCATCGCCTCTCTCGGTACCTAACGACACATGGGGTGCGTTTGATGAAGAAGATGACCCGATACCACGTCGTAACAGATTACGACTTCCGACACCGCCCGAAGTTGGTACACTTCGGTTACCTCCGGTTCCTAAACCTTTAAACAATACTCCAGCTTCTTCACTTGGTAACTCTCCTTCTTCACCATCAAACAACACACCAAACAGCCCATCTCCAAGCGTTTATTCAACTCCGTTACAAACCCCAAATTATTCACAGACCACAGTCAATAATACGTATAATGTCAGACACACTCTCACCCCATCGGAAGCACCTACAGCATCCCCAAATAGCTACGCCAATCCACCAGCATACACCGAATACCCATACGGAACCCCGATTCGGGAACGATCACAACTGGGAATTCAAAGTCCCATATCTTACGGAACCCCTATACGGGAAAGAACTCAGCTAGGGATTCAAAGTCCCCTCGGGTTTCCGCTCCTGCAGAACCGTGTGCCGTATATTGACCACAGACAGCAAAGGCCAACTAATGAGCCCAGGTCAAATGACTTGCATGAAGTTTTGGGTCAGTTACGAGAGACAGTTAATAGAGAGTTGGACAGAAGGAAAGATATGGATAAATACTTGGAATCATACCTTAACAGAAAATAGAGATTTAACGTTCAATGTTGCATGAACTCTCTTGCATAATGTATTATAGTCTACCAAGGATCAAATGCTTGTTAAGGCATTGTATTTAGCTATTTTCATCAAATATATTTTAATAATTTTATGTAGAATTTATTTTACCACTGATCTTCAGGCTTTTCGCGCGGCATAAATTACACATATTTCGCCAATTCAAAAAATTTACATGACGTATCCCTAACTGTAGTCCATGTGACAATTTTCAATTTGTTTACACTTTACAATATTTACGTCGAAAAACAATATTTTTCTGTTTGATTTTTGAATGGATGCTACTCAGATTCTTGAAGATTTGGACGAGGAAGACATTAATCACAGTGGAACAAAGAAAACGGTGTGTATTGAATGAATGGATCGGGCAGGAGGCGATTAGAAAGTTGACCACCAACAAACCAGTGAAACCATTCTCTTCTCAAATATCAATCAGTCAATCTTAAAATCTTCATCTTAATAGGTTGCATTTTTAAAGGTTTTTGCTGTGGGGAGTTTTCCAGAGACCCTGTTTCCAGTTTATGAAGGTAGAGTGCGGACTCTTTAGACTTTATAGAAGAGAATTTAATAGAGGAATGTCGTGGAAGAGAATTAGAGGAAAGACGTGGATGTTCTCTCCATAAATCATAACATAATTTGCATTTACAATGCAGGTGAAAACGTAGTTGGAAGGCACAATTGTGATATCACATTACCACTGCAGGTAAATAACTGACACAGCTTTACCTAACATCTGATCCTCTTTGACATCTCTTACGTAAAGCGCTACTGCTTACTATATTGATTAACCAATTGTAATTAATATATCTGTACATAATCATTGTGATAATTATTAACAGGCTGTGTCAAAGAAACATGCTTGTATTGATGTGCATGGAAGGAACCACTTGATATGTGACTACAATAGTCGCAACAAAACGCGGAGAAATCAGGTTAGTAAACCTTATGTTGTGCCGAGGAAACACCAACATCCTCACCATATCTTAACCTTTGTCTTCACAGATGTTCCTAAAGCCCCAAGCATTCTATGAACTTGTTAATGAAGTTGAACTGATGTTTGCTGATGTTAAATGTCAGTATTTACTTGCACAAACTGAGGATGTGGTATGTTTATAGTCTAATATGTAACATATACCACTGTATATTAAATTCACTGCAACTGTATTCTATATGCAACTTTTAGGTCCACTGTTAGTTATTAGTTGCTAGACCTGTGACGTTGGTACTGTTGAATGTCAAATAATGATTTTTAATTGATAGGTTGAAAAGGAAATTACTGATTCTGGATCAGAAACTGCATCTGAGTCAATGATGCCAGAATCCATAGAAGATGAAGATGAAGAGGTTCGTTTTCTTTTATACTTTTTAATCATCTAAATTTATGCAAACTTTGCCTTACTATGATGGCTGCCTAAGAAGTTGATATTCCTCACATATAACGTACGGTATTAATGATTTAGCTCAAGGAAGAACCACAGAAAGAATCCTTGGAAAAATATCTTGACCAACCTACACTAGAGTACGATTATGAAAATCCAGGTACTGTACCTTAAATATGAGTATAACTATATCAATATATGAGATGAAAAGGTAGAACTGTTCAAATGTCATTATCATCATTCCTCTTAACTCAGGTGAACATTCTACACTTTTCTGTGCGGAAACAGATGATGATGAGACAGATGATGATAAAACGGATGATGAAAGTGAAACTAATGATAATGGCAATAACACTTCATGTAGTGAGTAAACACATGGTTTCCTTTTCATTTGCTTGTGCAGAGTATTAATCTGGGTAAGTTAATTGTTTTATAATTCCTTATTGAGTAGATACCAAGCCATCATTCAGTAAAGAAAAGACAGTCGAATATTCCGCTCAGGCCACTGCAAATGACTCAACCTTAGAAACTACGATGCCTTACAATACCATACCAAATACGCAGGAACCAGACGTCATTCCTGAGACACCTTTTCCTCAAACCAACAGCACTGAGTCGCCATTTAAACTAAAAAGATCTGTGGATGTAAAAGTTGACACTTCAAGACGAGTGTCTGCAGGAAACACACTAGCTTATGGTTTGTCGACCTTGGAGAGTCCGGCCGATACTACACGGTAAAGTGATCTTATTAAATTTTGTGGTAAAACTCTTTGTTATCGTATATTATGTTTTCATTTTGATTGCTGATATTCTCTGATCTCTCGTTGTAAATCCTGCCTGGGTAATGGCTATAAAGATCTTTTTACTTTAGGGAGTCGATTGACGTTTCCCAAAACGACAGCGCAAAGTCAGAAACGTCTGGTGAATGTGAAAAAGTGAAGAACAAACTTTTGTTTGACAACACTCCAGGTATACAGCGTATAGCCGAAAACGATACTCGAAATTGTATGTTATCCACTTTAAAACTCGATTGCATAATTTTGAATCTTGACAAAAGTGTTGTACGTATATTATTACAGATAAAGAAAGCCCAAGACCTTCATGTCCACTTCCAAAACAAGACGAACCATTTGACGATCTTTTGGCGACACAACTTTATGAGCCGATGGAGATACCAGAGTCTCCAGAGTATTTAGAATCAGACAAGAATGACGAAGAACTCACCACAGAAAATACGGCGAAAACAACGGCGAGGAAAACACCAGAGGATACAATACCGAACTGTAAAAATCAAGAACCTGAGAACAAATTCTCCGAGGATAAAATCTCGGATGGCGAAAATCCAGAGAATAAAGTCTCTGGTGATAAAAAGTCGTATGGTAGGGATTCTGGTAATGTGACATCTGAGGACACAATACCGAATTGTAGTACGCTGGAAGAAACTCAGGCGTATGTTTTACCTCAAGATGAATATGATGATATGCCAACCCAAGCCTACGGGTTGCTTGATACCGACACGGCCGGTACTGAAGACGAGTTGGCGGAAACGCAGGCCTATGGAGTCGAAAGTGATTTGGAAATTCCCAAACTGGCTGCTCCAACCAAGAGTGTCTTTAAGGTGCCTGGTGCAATGAATACGCAGGATTTGCATAAAGATATTTGCGATGATGGTGGTGGAAAGGAAGAGTATAATGATGGTAGGGATTATTTGAACGATTGAGTTATGTCCTGAAACTAATGTTAAATTGAAATGATTGTTGTTTGGCAGAGATGGATTTTCAGCCGACACAGAAGTACGTGGAAGAAACAAGCGAGTCTTCCGACCCTGACAATCCATTAGTGTCTCGTTTCCTGGGATTCCTGTCAGGTATGATCATCAATGCACTTGTAGAGTGAGTCACTCGTTGATACTGACCAAAACTGTGACGGCCAATAGACGACTGACTTAGTTGCAGTATGTACATCTATTTAATATTGTGGAAGAGTTGTGGCCACTAGACAAAGATATATGGTGTCTTCATGTATGGCACTTTAACGTTTCATTTGCTTTTTTAACTGTTTTCGTATTTACAGAAAGTGACAGTGATTTCATGTCAACAAAAGAGGAGGTCAAATCTGAAGTAAGTTATGATTGCGCTCCTTCACAGCAATCACCAGAATATTAGGCCACATTTACAACCATGTTTATAGATTTTCTCAAACTTTAGACGTCGACGCCAGCAGTTAGGAAATCGTCCGTCGTAATCGAGGGGGGGAAAACCTTGAGTACAGGAAAACGATGCCGCGTTGAACTCCCGGAAGATGAAATAAGCGATGAAAAGGTCTGTCTAACCTGAATATGTGTTAAGACCTGATCCCTTATCGTCATGTGTTAAAACTAAAAGTTTTTTTACAAACACAAACTATTTCCATGCAATAAAGGAATGTTTCCAGTCTAAATTAAGAGATAAACCTTTAGGAAATCAATCAATCATAAATACAAATAAACTAAAGCTATGTTGTATGTTTTTCAATTTATAGCTGCAGACTTCGTTACTTGACCCGTCGGCGGAAAATGACGATTTCGTCCCGAAGTGTAAAATAATGAGGGAGGGAAAAGGGGTGGCACGACGCAGTAGGAAGGGACGTAAGGGAGAACTTGAGAGCAACGATGGATCAGAGGGTAAAAGTGATAGTAAGAAGGAAGCTGCAAAGCCTGTGAGAAAAGGAAGAAGCGGGAAAAAGAAAGAGTTAGACATTGATGAAGAAGGAAGAGATGAAAGTATTGATGATGAGAAACATACAGTGAGTGAGAAAGAGGACTGTGGGGTAAAAAACACCAAGAAAGGTCGAGGTAAAGAAATTGAAGATGTCGAAAAGAATGAGAGAAAGGTTAGTAACAAAGATACGCCGGGTAAACAGGCCTCGGAAGAAAGGACTGCATCATTAGGGCAGGATTTGGCGGATATTGGGACTCCTGAAGCAAGTAAAAGCAAAACAAGTGGTAAGAAAGGAAGACAAGCTGCAGCGAAGACCTCAAGAAGGAAAGTTGGGTCGAAATTTGAAGATGTTCAGGGTGTGGATGTCAATGAAGACGTTGTGGTGGATGAACCTAAAATGATACAGCCTCGGACACCTGCGAGGAAAAGAAAGTCGTCGGAAAACGAACAGCAAAAGAAAGGAACTGCAAAGAAGAGTCGTAGAAATACCAGAACAGAGGTCATCTCGCCGGAGAATGAGGGAATAAAGGTAGCTAGACTGTTTTTGTTCATATTTTTCTTGTTGTTAATCGTTCTGATAGTATTTTTTGTCAGTTTGATACAGAAGATATTTCACCACCAACGAGTTCTTTAGTAAAACGTTCATCATCGACTGCGTCAACTTCATCCAACGCGAGCAGTAAAGTTTCTCGTTCGGGAAGAAAAGGAAAGAAACAAATGAAAGAAAACAGCGAGGTACTTGATGTAGGTAGCTTTATATCGTGTAGGAAGCGGACGGTGTTTCTGAGATATTTACTCGTGAAGGGAGGAATATCTTTTAGTGATCAAGTTTTATTTCGATACAGGATTCCGCTGATGTGAAAATTGTTTTCACGGGATTGCAAGATAGTGCATTCAACAAAGCAAACAAGGTAAACAACGAACTCCAGTTTTTTTAATTCAGGATGGCCTTTGGAATTGCTATAATATGTCTCTCGTAATATCTAGAACATACTAGTTTACGCAGAAACGTTTATCGAAAAATACTGCTTCAAAATTCTGCGTTATTCTTTCCTTGAATGATCCACAGCCGTTCGTGAATTCGGTTTGTTTAGATTGTGCAAGCACTTGGCGGGAAAGTTGTTGAACATCTTGAGGACTGTACGCATTTGGTCACTGATAAGGTAATTCAACAAAGCTGCTTCTTACAAACATGTTAACGCTTCTACCCTGTACCGTGTATAAACCTTTCTCATAATGACGGAATGCAAATGTCATACGAAGTTTGGTCGGCTAACTAACGAGCTAATCAAACTCCGTGTAATATGTACATGGTCTCTGTGTTTAACGTTATGCGAAGAAAAGCTTATTCAATCCTGCAATACTGGCAACTGCTGAACGTCGTATGCGAGAGGAATTTGCTCTCAAATTTCCGGAGTTCTTTAAGTGAACTGTTATTCTATAAAATATATATGGCACACTAGCCAGTACAGCCGTGCCGTCATACTTAATAGAGATTCATTTCCAGGTTCGACGTACAGTGAAACTCTTGTGTGCAATATCACGGGGAATACCAGTCGTGGATATGTGTTGGTTGGAGGCTTCGAAGAAAAGAAAGTCGTTTGCTGGTAATCGCCGGGCACTTTTTTGTTCTGGTATTTGTTTTGAAGCATTGAGCCACTTCATCTGAAGTACTGGGTTTCATCTTACAGATTCCGAAAGCTACATCTTAAAAGATGACGATGCCCAGCAAAAATTTAGTTTTTCTATGGAAAGGTTCGTTTTGTATAGAATTTTTATCATACACTACCATAGATGTGAAATATTTTCATCATAAGGAGTCCTTTTCTTCCATTTCTAAAACGTAAAAGAAATCCTTGCGACTAACTAAAGTTATTGATGTGTTCCCGTGTTTCAGATCTCTTAAACTCGCCCGGGATAATGCTCTTCTGGATGGTTACAAAATTCATGTCACTCCCAATGTTCGTCCATCCCCTCCGGAAATGAAAGGTACGAGAACTAAATAACCTTGTAAACCTGAAGCAAGCGACAGTAGCTCAGCGCTACGTTTTCATAACAGGAAATGCAACTTGTTTTTCGTAAATCATTTTTGCAGAAATAATTAAAAGTGCCAAAGGAGAGGTGAGGAAACTATTTATTTTTTCATGTTTACACGTATTTTGCTATGTTTGTGCCTTTATAAACATGCAAATAATGCCCTGACTTCAGGTTTTAACAAGGATGCCAACGACACGTGATGTTAAGAATGACAACGTCATCGTGTTGTCATGTGAGGAGGATAAAAACTTGTGTATAAAAGCAAAGATAAAGAAGGCATACACTGCTGAGCTGCTTCTGACTGGCATTCTTAAACAGCAGCTTGATCTAGAACAGTATCCTTTTTGTCGGAATATTTTAATCATTTTCAAGTTGACGTACAGGTGGGTTTATCAAAGAATCCTATCGCTTTAAATCATGTTTTCTTTCACTCAAGCGATATCAGGTATGAATTATCGTTGAATACAGAAACGAAGCCGTCAAAACGAAGACAAAAGTCTCTAAAGTAAACTCGTATCAAATCAGATCAGACAATACAGTAGATGCTGTCATTGATTCTGTCTAGGAGGTGAAGAATTCGTAGGAGTTTTTACCCGGATACCTTCGTGGCTAGGGGTCGTTTTCTGGCAAAATTGGTTTTGCTGTCACTGATATGGTGTTGAAGTCAAAGTGGCCATAGTCAAAGTGGCCATAGTCAAAGTAATGGTTTATTATTAATACGCCTATAGCAATGATGTAGAATTACGGTGTAATTATTAAGGTAACACCATTATGTCAGTGAACAACTTAAGATCCACGACGTCTCAATGAAGACGATATCTAATAATGATTGAATAAGACGAGTGTTACCATGCACTCAGTTTATTATATCGTGTCGACTGTATAAAAATGTATAGGTCTGTACAATTACAGATATTCAAATAAAACGAAATTTTCTCGGTGTTAAACTTTTCATCTTTAAAAGTTATTTCAGCTGTTAGAACTTTAGCAAGCATTGTCGCAGAGTTCTTTCAATTACCACCACTCCCTACGAGTAGGAGTTGAAAGCTAAGAACACTAACTATATTTGATTTCTAGTTTCTAAACTCAAAAACACATAGCGTATAGTTGAAAACCTCGAAGCTCAGAGCATCACATTCCAGTTTCCCCCTTCATTCAGTTTTTTACATTGATAGTACTCATCGGTACTTCATTTAGATGAGTGTATTGAGCATCGTCATTTTCTTTCTTCCCAGTCCACTTGAGAGAAGTGTAAATCGCCGCGGCCTGCTCTTCATTTATCTGTTCATAATTCCCATCATCAATATCATTTTTGTCGTTGGTTGGTTTGTTCTCCACGATTGTCTCAGAGTTTAATGATTTGGTGCGATAACGATAAATCAGAAAGGCGATGATCAAAAGTGAAATGAAAAGCAGGATTGATAACACTATAATTCCAGCAACATAATTTCCTGAAATGTATAAAGCCGTGATTATTGAGTTAGAGAAAAAAAGTTTAATTCTTTCCGCAAAATGAATATGAACATATTTTTCTATTCATGTAGTTTACCTGTTTCTTTTAGTTTTTCGACTGAAATTGTATAAGTGGTAGTGCTTTGAAATCGATCTTTGATATGACAAATGTATTTTCCAAAACTTGATTGGTCTTTCATTGATGCAACCAGCAAAGAACTACGATGAGGTGTGTCCTTTTCCATGAAAGCCTCCAGTGACGTCTGATCTTTTTCCCAACTGAAAGTGATCGGTGGTTCCCCTTGAGCAGAACACAACAAGTTGACAAGATCACCTTCCTTTGCAATTTCGTCACTACTGGACATGTTGGTTAACACACGAGGAGTGCCTGGGGAAAAAGAACACGGGGGAATTAACACAGAACGTTTCTGTCATAAAAAGCGTAATAAGGACAAACTCAATGCTCTCTCTTTCAGTAGGAATTATAATCTTTTTGACGATAAATTAATAAGATATTCACCTGCGTATTCATTTGTTTTTAAAGCAAGACTCCAGTCTGTGGAGTAAACATCGTCCTGTGATAAATTAGACAAGGATATGTTTAGTTCATGTTTCGTTTTATGTGTGCTACTGTCCTTTTGAATGCTGCAAGTTTTCAGTTTTTACACCTTTTTATCCAGGATAATCCTTTGAAAGATTCTATAACTAGTACCAGGTTCCAACGGACCATTGTAATAATTACTAGAGGTAGTTGAACTTCCTAATGTTGCATCACTTCTCTTCCTACCATCACCAAGTATGAATTTGTTTTCAACAACACTGCTGGATGAAAATACAGCAGCAATATAAGGTTTATGGCCAGGTGATCTTCTTGCCTCAGCATACGTCACTAGTTCATTGTTGTCATAACTACCAGTTGAGCTTAGTTCTTGACCTTCGTCCTTTAATTTCAAAGCTACCACGTAAAAATATCTACAAACAAATCCAGTACAGCATTGAAATTAAAACTATTAATTCGACCGTTCTTTGAGTTTTTCAAAGACTGACAAAGCATAAACGTACGAAAAATTTCCAGGAGGAATCTGCAATGTGAAAGTTAATGTTCTGGATGTTCGAGTTGTGGTCACCTCTGGTTGTTCTAAATACGAATAAAAATTACAATTAGAATAATTTACCTTGAACAATTATTTGCAAAGAACCTTTCAAAAATGAGTGTAATATCTTCTGATAAATAAGCAGAAATAATCGAACAATGAACACTTACTTCCATTTGTAAATGCTTCTTTACTCTTACTGTAGCTTCCCTGACCGACACTGGTAATGGCGAGGACACGAACGTAATATTTGGTTAATGGATTTAAATTGCTTATGACCCATTTTCTTGCACCCATCGTGAATGTTTGAAGGCAGGGCTCATTTCTTGACTGTAAAACACACACAGTGTAACTGATAATGACCCCATTTCTTTTCTCTTCTTCAGGAGGATCCCACGTGACTGATAATGAGGATGAACTTTCTGAAATAACTTTGACATTCAGTGGAGGACCATCTGGAGCTAAGCACGAACAATACTGTGTAAATATATTGATAGTGATAAAGAAAACGATGATAAGAAGGTGGGATGCTAATGATGCATTATGATCTTACCTTCTTCACCAGTCCTAAACGCTATCTTAACACGATCACCATAAGCCTTACTGTTAGCAAGAGCCACTGAAACTTCGTAATTCGTAAATGGAGTCAGATCCTTCATTGAGAACTTGTTTTCACCACGAAATATTATAACCTTGTTTATGACTCGAGCACCGCCATGTTTCAGTATTATCCAAAACCTGGTAACAGGATTCTTGGAAGAAACCACGGGATCCAACCAAGACACTTCTGCGCTTCTGGACGTGATCTTGTTGACTGTCAAGTTGAATGGTCTTCCTGGCTTTATGGCTAAAATATAAATCAAGAAAACTTTAACAAACAAATGGTAGGGTGAGAGTTAAGGTTAATTAAGATCAGCCATTATTGATCTGTGTTTATGATATAAGTACAGTTGCAAAAATTGGCTTACACTTTCCACAAATCTGCACTCTCATACACGGCTGAACCACTGAATCAAGCGGAATAAATCTCAAGGCTTTTAGTTCAATATTATCGTCCACAGATTGTCTGACAACATGATTATTAGCATTTCTATTGCCACGAAATATCTGCAAGAAAATAAAAGATAATTGGCGTCGCAATTTTAGTAGAGCAACAGAGAGCTAGATTCCGCTAAGTACTTCACAGTTTATAAAGTAAAAGGATTATTAACAACAATAGAAATTGAAGCTGAAATCTGGACGTATTCGGAATCAGTTTCAAACATGAAATGTAGTGATTTTTAGAGCTTACTTTTTCAGTTTGGTTTGAAGCTTGTTTCCATTGTATCATATCAACCGAGTAATTCAGATGATACGAAGTCACCCACTTGCTGTTAGTTCTATCACCAAATGTCGCCACATAATATACAACATAAGATCTTCCTAAGTCAACTTGAAGATAATGTTTACCATTTGCGACAGGAGCACACCAAGAACTACCACTAGATATCCTTGCTTTGGCTGGATTGTGACCACTCAGTGAATCTGATGCCGTGAAGAAGGAGTCGGGAAAATAATCTTTGTATTCTAACAGAGGATTCTCGCAAACTGCACCTGGAAATCAAGAATTGCCAAGAATAAGATTTGTGTGTGGAAAAGATAACCAAACAAGACCCAATAAACAACGTTGTATGTTGTCGAAAAAGTTGTCTGTTTCGTTATCTATGCTACATCAACCTACATGTCACGTATGATAGTTCCTTGCAATCGTTGGCAGAACTTCTTGTTGTTTGACATTGTGATAAAGTTGCTTCTCCTCCATTACAGTCAATACTTCCTTGAAAGACGTCTTCTTTTCTCTTCCCCGAAACAGTCGAAGTTTCTTTAAGTCTTTTCCAGTAGCCCAGCTGACGGCACACGATATCCTTGGCCTGAGATTTTAGAGCTTTGCTGCAGACAATTTCGTTCTTATTATTGATAGTTACGGTCAGGAAGCCTTTGTTTGGTGAAGTTGACGAAGTCAATGAGACAGATTCAACTATTGTAGAACGAAATGAAATAAAACTGTTTATTCAACATACGGTAGATTAAAGCCAGGTTCACACTTGTCTTAAGAATCGGCGACCTTTTGTTTGAATTCAAAATAATTGTCTATCGGAAAATAATACAATGGATCCTCCATTCTTAGGACATAGTGTGAACCAAGCCTAAACAATAGAATCATGAACGTGAATGTTTTTTTAGCTCTTACCACACGGCTTGGTAAAAGACGTGGAAGTATCAATACATTGATATTCAAAGTAAAGATATTTTTTCAACCCAGGACACAGATCATCAGAGAACAAGGTTTCATCCACAGTTATTTTACATTCATGTTGACCATCACATTGTTTCTTAACAAGACATGTTACATCAACTGTACAACTATAATCATCACTCAAACCACATGTCTTTGAGTCAGACAATCCACGGTAAGATGCAGTCTTGACCACCATGAACTGATCTTTAGAACAGGCGACATTCTCTGTCGTTTTTCCATAACATGTCACTGAACCTTGATAAGGATAACACGAAATGTTAATCGTGATCGAAACTTAAAAAGATGAAGTGAGTTTGTTTACTTGGTTTGAGAATATATAATTAGATTTTGAGCACTTCTCCTCTTTACTGTTGAATACATTTCTCAGACAACCCTATCAGGCAGAAAGATCGTACTGGCAGAAAAGAAACTTACCAAAAATAAAACGTTTATTCTCCCCGTCTACACAGCTTGCGTTTGTTTTTAAGTATCTATCAGGGTCTGCACACCTGGCTGCAGAATGCAAAAGGCCAGATAAACCTCCCCAAGAGGTTTGTTTTATAACCCGGTGGTCAGCACAGGCAGATACTTCTATAGCTCCTGGGGTATTAGGAACGTAGACGTAAAACATTTCATCAATCCTGTACTTTTTATATATAGCAAGACATCCTCGTCTTTTCAAATTCAACATGGCGCCATTATCACGAAACCGAAACTGAGCAGCTGGATCCAGACAGTTGTTGGAGAGTTCAAGAAAAGATACGCTGCCCCAGTCCGAGTCTTGTGACTGTATTCGTGCTGTGTCATAGATACACTTTCCTGTCTTCACATGTTTCACAAAGAAACCAGCAACATCTGAAACACAGCACAAAAAGGTAGAACGATATAAAAAAGAAAGTGACTCGTACAGATGAATATAAAACACAATGTGCCCTCCCCCCCAAAGAACAACAGATGAAATCATCATTCACTAATCACTATAATATTATTATTTATTATGATTGTTAATTATTATTATTAACATTAGTTTGATGACCTTGACATTTCTGAACTTCTGGGAGTTTATATGTTTTGTACAACCTAATTTGAAGCAAAACAAAATATACTTTATGCAGATTTCGTTTTATTGAGTAAATAATTGTGTATGCGGTTCAGTTTCTCAAACTAAATACCTAATTTCTGTTATCATTCATCACCTTCATCATGGCTTCATGAGAACTAATTAACACGGTGGATTTCATAAACTTGATTGCTGGATTATTTGCTGGACATTTAAGCCTGGTTTCCATATAACGCCGACCTGTCGCCGACATGCCGCGGACTCGAGTCGGCGTATTGAGTCGGTGAAAGCAAACTATGTCGCCGACTAGCTTGCGGGCGGGAGTTTTAAAAATGGCGGCAATAAACGAAAGGTTTATGCTTGAAGTCCAATTTTTTGCGCTGCTAGTTCTCCTTAGGAGACGACGGAAGAAGACATTGAGAAAACGAAAGCACTTATGTTGGGTGAGGGATATACTTAAAAAGAGGAAGGAAATGAGTCAGTATTACACCTTGGTTCAGGAGATGAGATTGGGAGACAGAGAATACTTTTTCAGGTAATATTTTTTCAGTTCTAACAAATCTTGAACTACATAATTCAATAGAGCCTAGTCATTTTTGTTTTTCAATTTTGATTTTTAACAATACATATTTAAAGGATGCCAAAAAAGTTCTTGATATAAAAGCAAAAATGTGATTCAAATCAATAGTAGTAATAGATATGTCTAAAAATGAGACATGGTTAAACCAGAGGTAGTCTTTTTGCACCACAAAACATACTTACGAAGGAATAATAACTAACCAACTACTTAATTATGTCATTTCAGGTTCCTACGAATGTCACCAGAGAGGCTTGAGAATCTCTTGGAATTGGTTGGACCACTTATCACCAAAAAGCCATGCAGAAGTAGAGAGCCAATTACCCCTGCTGAAAGACTAGTTATCACACTAAGGTACCTAGCTACAGGAGACTCCCAACAGTCTCAGTCATTTAATTTCAGAGTTGGAAGAGGAACTGTGTGCAAAATCATTAAAGAAACATGCAGTGCAATATGGCTGGCATTGAATGAAAAATATTTGAAAACCCCACAGACACTGAAAGAATGGTTAGATATAGCAAGAGGATTTGAAACGGAATGGAATTTTCCAAACTGTTTGGGGGCAATTGATGGCAAACACATATCAATTGACTGTCCCAAAAAGGCTGGATCGATGTTCTTTAATTACAAGAATTTTCACAGCACTGTTTTAATGGCATGTTGCGATGCCAATTATTGTTTCACCTTTGTGGACATTGGCAGTTATGGAAGAGACAATGATGCATCAATATTTGCAGAAACAGAGTTGTCTAAATATTTTGAAGCAAGACAAAACAATATCCCTGGTCCTAAAACTATTGATGGCCATAAATTACCCTATGTTCTAGTGTCTGATGAAATATTCCCATTGAAACCATGGCTCATGAAACCGTACCCTGGGAAAGGACTCAGTGAATCACAAGCAATTTTTAACTACCGCTTAAGTAGAGCTAGACGAACCATAGAGAACACCTTTGGAGTATTTTCTGCTCGCTGGAGGATATTTAGAAGACCAATCAGGGCAAATGTTGACACAGTTGATAAGATTGTACAAGCTACAGTTTGCCTACATAATTACTTGCGCACAACAGAAAATGCCCATTATATTCCCCAAGGATTTGTAGACTCAGAGAACAATTCAGGTCAAATCATTCCAGGGGACTGGCGTGCGACTGTTTCTGATGGAAGTACTGAAGGACAGGGTGCTTTTCAGCATATGAGACATGTTGGCTCAAATACATATACGCATGTGGCAAAGAATACGAGAGAACTGTTTGAGAAATATTTCAATGGTTCAACAGGAGCACTACCATGGCAGATTGATCACGTTAGAAGCTGTGGGAAACAAAATAAGGGCTAAAATCTACCTTAAATGTATAACTTGTTAACAAACAGCTGTTCACAGTTTAACTTTAACTAGAATACTAACTCTAAAATCCAAAGGACAAGCCATTATGTTACTGTGTTGCAATATCAAGACAGTATGTTCCTGTACATTGAAATCCAAGTGCCTCTCTTCCCCTGGCTAGGCTTGAAAGGATACTTTAATCTAACATTTAACAAACTAAATAATAATGTTTTACCAATCTTGGCTTTGAATGTTTTAAAAGTTGTTTTAGAACTTCAAGACAACCAGTTAAGGCCATGTCACACAGTGGAATTCTTCTAGCAACTTCACTTGCAATGCAATGGCTTAAATTGCAAGTTGCAAAGCAGATTGCATCATCTAACACCTCTAGTTGGCAACTTGCAATGCAATAAAAAATTGCATAGTAAGTTGCATGCAACATTGAGCCAGCTTTTACTTTTTGCAATGCTGAGTGGCAGGTTGCAGCATCTTAAACCCTAATCTGCAACGTTTCTTGCAGTACTTAGCAAATTAGCCACTCAGGGTTTTGAATAGTCTGTGATAAGGATGATTTCTGTGGCAATTATATGCACCACTGCAGATTGCAAAACAAGTTTCAATCTTGTTTCACATGTCATTACAACATTAGCAATATTTATTCTTACAAATATTGTAAGTTGCAAGAAAAATATTCACTGTGTAACATAACCTTTTAACTTCTGCATAATATTAAATGGTTTTTTGGTCCATTGTACATTAAATAAAGCTTACATATAACACACTGGTTTCTATGGCTCCTGACCACCTTGTGAAGATGAGGTATCATGGTTCATCGGTCTTTGCGTTTGCTGAAGTGTGCAATAGCTGTCCAGACCCTGACGCATATGAGGGTTGGTGTATGTCTCATTGACACCACTACCCTGCTGGTGCAAAAATTGGCTGCTACTCGATCCATGATGAGTTGGCATTGGTACTGAAAAAGGCCAATTTGTACCTTGAAAAAAGCTACGAGATGATGAATTTTCCTGAACTACAGAATTAGACATTGTTTCCATATCATTAATAACTTGTAAAATTTGAAGCTGCGCTCGAGTAAGTAAATGTGGAGGCAATCTTTTGAGTTTTGAAACAAGACTTAAACAAAATAGAGTCTCGTCGTCTTTCGGCTGCCCTTCGTCTTCAGTTTTATTTTTCCTCAAAGTCTGATAATTTTCTTGGAACATCTTCATTGTACTAATAATAGCTTTGTCTACAGAATCTATTTTGTTTTCTGGTGCCCATGGACGTTTCTGCCCAAACGATTTCGCGGCTATTTTTTTATTTTCAGACAATGGTGTAACTTTTCCCTGGCCTTTTTCAGCATCTATTGGGCTTTTGTTTGTCGAAGAGCTGGCATCTTCTCCGTCTGACAGAGGCAGTGTTGGCTGCTCAAGACTACTTTCCTGCGACATAGTCACATCAACTTCATTATCTGGGATTTTCATCGTAGTGCTTGTCGTTTCACGATGCTTGATATGAACAATTAACCACCTCAGATACTCATACTCCTCCTTGAGTTCGATGTCTTTTCGTCCTGATCCCGAACGGACTGCTTTGATGCTCTTTAAATACTTAGAAAACATCGTTCGGATGGAACTGTACCTTGACTGGGCTTCGGAAACAGGAATTTTCAATTCATCTGCCACTGCCGCCCACGCATTTTTCTTCTTTTGCTGATCTTTATAGTCCTTACAAGCTTTATTGTAAATAGCTTCGTAATTTTGTATTATTTCCATTAATCTTTCGTTTGGGACTGAATTTGCTTTCTCTGCCGCCATTTTGAAAATTGGCATGCTGCTTTGTTGCACCAGTGCAACATGGGAAAAATAAGGCGCAGGCATCGCAGATTGGTGTTTCCATATCGAAAATTCACTGCGACAAGTCTGCGAGTAGTCCCCGGCTATTAAAAAAGTTGAACCCGTCCCGACTTTCCCGACTCGAGTCGGCGACTACAAATTAGTCGCAGATGTCGCCGACAACGAACCGACAACGTGTTTCCATATGCCTGGAATTTGCGCAGACTCGAGTCTGCGGCATGTCGGCGACAGGTCGGCGTTATATGGAAACCAGGCTTAATTTCCTTGAAGAATTCTTGAAAAGGTGGGAAATATTGGAAAATCTCGATTAAATTTTTTTTATTTACATTCAATTTGGGAGTGGACGAGTGGTAAATCTAGTTTAAGCAACTCACCTTAGCCTACGATTGTAGTTATACAAACGAAAAAACAGTACCGAAGTGGCAAAGCTACTAGCCTACCAATCGCAACTTCTTAAAACCCGGAAATATTTTCCATACTTCCGGGTTTTAAGAAGCGTTGGTTTTGACGAGATTCATTGAATAAATCATTGTCATTCATAGTTTTGCAAATTTACAGCCGCAAGTAAAATCCACACCGGTGAAATTCAGTAAAAACAAACAAACAAACGTGATAACGGAAGTGCTGCAGAAATCACCATCTTGATTAGATAAATTTTGTTAGTGTTGCGATTATGCGATAGATCAATAGACTATCTTGTTTTTTTCTTGACTTCGTATGAATTCCGACTTCTATAAATTCCCAAACCAACTGAAGCCGGCTTTGTTGTGACAATGCTCTTTAATCACGAATCTTCGGCGGAATTCCGTGATTCACAGCTCGTCACAGAGACGAATCCTTGAGCATTTAGCGCGAAAGCAACTAGCAAGCTATGGCTACCAAATAACACATTGGTCAACATAAATACGGTGACGTTTCTTTTAATTCCGAGTTATATTTTACACATTTTTTTACAAATATCACTTAATAATTTTGTAAGGAAATTATCCCTAAAAGTATATTTTGCATGAAGCACTGTCGCAGTGAAAGGAAGTCGATAAGTTGCGAAGTAAAACTAACTAAAGTTACGAGGTAAACTAACAGTCATACCTTGCATGCAGGTGATCAGGTACACTACGACCATACATGTCGAGTACCATCTGCAACCATGCGAAAACATCTTTCAACTAATGCAATCCACATAAAAATCCCAATGGGAATGTGAAAATAAAAACTCGCTTAAGCGTGGATTATATTATATAGGCTTATAGTTACAATATAAACTCTTATTCGTATTATTGGGTTTCATGTGACGTCATACATTCAAGTGGTCTAAGGCTAAGAGCGCTTTCCTTTAAAGCGACTGAGCGGCCAAAATGGGAAACCGGTCGTATTTTGAATTAAAATACAGTATTTCGTTAAGAATAAAGCAGTGAAACTCCATTTTCCGTCCTATACAGATGAAAATAACGATATACTTAAATACATAGTTCTTGAAGTCAAAGTGGCCATAGTCAAAGTGATGGTTTATTATGAATACTCCTATAGCAATGATGTAGAATTACAGTGTAATTATTAAGATAACACCATTGTGTCAGTGGACAACTTAAGATCCACGATCTCTCAATGAAGACGACATCTAATAATGATTGAATAAGACGAGTGTTACCACTCAGTTTATTATATCCTGTCGACTGTATAAAAATGTATAGGTCTGTACAATTACAGATATTCAAATTAAAAGAAATTTTCTCGGTGTTAAACTGTTTATCTTTAAAAGTTATTTAAGCTGTTAGAACTTTAGCAACCATTGTCGCAGAGTTCTTTCAATTACCACCACTCCCTACGAGTAGGAGTTGAAAGCTAAGAACACTAACTGTATTTTATTTCTAGTTTCTAAACTCAAAAACACATAGCGTATAATTGAAAACCTGGGAGCTCAGAGTCCTGAGAGCTTCCAGTTTCCCCTTCATTCAGTTTTTACATTGATAGTACTCATGGGTACTTCATTTAGATGAGTGTATTGAGCATCGTCATTTTTCTTCCTTCCCAGTCCACTTGAGAGAAGTGTAAGTCGCCTGCTCATCATTTATCTCATCATAATTCCCTGGATCATCGATTACGTTTTCGTCGTTGGTTGGTTTCTTCTCCACGTTTGTCTCAGAGTTTAATGATTTGGCGCGATTACAATAAATCAGAAAAGCAATGATTAAAGGTGAAATGAAAAGCAGGATTGATAACACTATAATTCCAGCAACATAATTTCCTGAAATGCAAGCCGTGATTATTGTGTTAGAGGAAAAAAAGTTTAATTATTTTCGCAAAATGAATATAAACATATTTTTCTATTCATGTATAGTTTACCTGTTTCTTTTAATTTTTCGACTGAAATTGTATAAGTGGCAGTGCTTTGAAATCGATCTTTGATATGACAAATGTATTTTCCAAAACTTGATTGGTCTTTCATTGATGCAACGAGCAGAGAACTACGATAAGGCACGTCTTTCTCCACAAAACTTTTCAGTGGCTTCTGATCTTTTTCCCAACTGAGAGTAATCGGTGGTTCACCTTGAGCAGAACACAACAAGTTGACAAGATCACCTTCCTTTGCCATTACGTCACCACTGGACATGTTGGTTAACTCACGAGGACCGCCTTGGAAAACGAACACGGGAAAATTGATAAAACGTTTCAAAACGCCTCATAAAAAAGTGCAATAAAGACAAACTCAATGCTTTCTCTTTCAGTAGGAATAGTCATGCCTTATTCTCTGAATAATAATAACAGTACATACATTTTTACTAAAAATTCGTAGTATTTTCAGAGATGTTAATATAAAATCAATTGAGTCATAATATCGCTGTAAGAATTATAATCTTTTTGACGATAAATTAATAAGATATTCACCTGCGTATTCATTTGTTTTTTAAAGCACGACTCCAGTCTGTGGAGTAAATCGTCCTGTGATAATTAGTAAGGATTGTTTAGTTCATGTCTCGTTTTTATGTGTGTTACTATCCTTTTGAATGCTGCAAGTTTTCAGTTTTCACACCTTTTTATTCAGAATAATCCTTTGAAAGATCCTATAACTAGTACCAGGTTCCAACGGACCATTGTAATAATTACTGAGTAGTTGAACTTCCTAATGTTGCATCACTTCTATTCCTACCATCACCAAGTATGAATTTGTTTTCAACAACACTGCTGTATGAAAATACAGCAGCAATATAAGGTTTATGGTCGGTGTCTTCTTGCCTCAGCGTACGTCACTAGTTCATTGTTGTCATAACTATCGTTGATCGTCGTTCTTTCTTCGTCCTTAAATTTCAGGGCTACCACGTAAAATATCTACAAACAAATCCAGTGCAGCATTGAAATTAAAACTACTATTTCGACCGTACTTTTCAAGACTGACAAAGCAAAAACGTACGAAAAATTTCCAGGAGGAATCTGCAATGTGAAAGTTAATGTTGTGGATGTTCGAGTTGTGGTCACCTCTGGTTGTTCTAAATATGATAAAAATTACAATTAGAACAGTTTACCCGGTGTAATATCTTCTGATAACTCTTCATCAACATACAATGAATTACACATAGAATTATGAACGTGAATGTTGATTGTTATCTCTTACCACACGGCTTCGTAAAAGACCTGACAGTGTAATCACATTGATATTCAAAGTAAAGATATTTTCTCCATCCAAGACACAGATCATCAGAGAACAAGGTTTCATCCACAGTTTTTACACTCATGTTGACCATCACATTGTTTCTTAACAAGACATGTTACATCAACTGTACAACTATAATCATCACTCAAACCACATGTCTTTGAGTCAGACAATCCACGGTAAGATGCAGTCTTGACCACCATGAACTGATCTTTAGGACAAGTGACATTCTCTGTTGTTTTTCCATAACATGTCACTGAACCTTGATAAGGATAACACGAAATGTTAATCGCGATCGAAACTTAAAAAGATGCAGTGAGTTTGCATGTCCACTTGGTTTGAGAATATTAATTAGGTTCTGAGCACTTCTTCTCTTTACTGTTGAATACATTTCTCAGACACTCTATCAGCGAAGATCGTACCGGCAGGAAAGAATTTACCAAATTAAAACGTTTTTCTTCCCGTCTTCACAGCTTGTGGTCGTTTTTAGGTATCCATCAGGGTCTGCACACCTGTCTGCAGAATTAAATTTCCCACGTAAACCTCCCCAAGAGGTTTGTTTTATAACCCGGTGGTCAGCACAGGCAGATGATTCTATAGCTCCTTTGTTTGGCGGAACGTAGACGTAAAACATTTCATCTTCATGATCCTTATTATATATAGCAAGACATCCTTGTCGTTTCAAATTCAACATAGCGCCATTATCACGAAACCGAAACTGAGCAGCTGGATCCAGACAGTTGTGGGAGAGTTCAAGAAAAGATACGCTGCCCCAGCTCGAGCGGTTTGAATGTATTTGTGCTGTGTCATAGATACACTTTCCTGTCTTCACATGTTTCACAAAGAAACCAGCAACACCTGAAACACAGCATAAAAAGTAATACCAAAAAACAGTACTGTAGTACAGAAAAATATCTCATTTCTGTTTTCATTCATTATTTTCGTGAAAAATAATTAGCAAGCTGGAGTTTCAACCTTAATATTTAACGAAACTTTTTCCTGTGATTTCAACTAAAAACTTGAAAAGGTTGCAAATATTGGAAAATCTTGATAAAGAGTTTTGAATTTACCTTCAATTTGGTGGGGGTTAATCTGTGTTACGTACTCGCTTTAGCAACAAATGTGGTTACTTTTCTCAAGATAGTTTTAACGAGGTGAACAGACAGAACGATAAACATTAATCAACCAGCATCTATAGTATACCAGACTACAGGTGGTATAGATACCTATCGCAACATTTCAAAGCGCTAGCGGGTAAATTTACCATACTTTCGGGTATTAAGCCGATGCGTTAGCTTTAGACAAGAGTCTATAGCGATTAATCCCATGTCATTGGTAGTTTTGCAAATGTATAGCAGCGATGCTTAATAGTGAAATTTATTTAATATTTGTTCCAAACCTAACAAGCATGATAACGGAAGTGCAGCAAAACCCATGTTGATTTTAGATTGTTATAGTGTAGCAATAGGTTGATTAACGATCTTGTATTTTTTTTTCTCGACCTCGTACGAATTCCGACTTCCATGAAGCTTTGTTGTGACAAGCTCTTTTATTTCGAATCTCCAGTCGGATTCATTCACAGAGACGAATTCTCGAGCACTTGACTAATATATTGGTCAACATATTGTCAAGAAATTATTTACCATTAATCATACATGCATTGTAACGTTTTTTTTTCTATGTTATCACAGTTCCACTTTTATTGTGTTTGTAATTGATATTATGTAAGGACATTACAATTAGATATCTTTTATATTTGAAGTAAATTTTGTATATAGCATTATCTCATCCAAAGAAAGCGGATATTCATATACTTCGCTCTAGCGTACGAAGTAAACTAACAGTCTACTAACTACCTTGGATATAGGTGATCAAGTATATTACAACCATCCATGTTGAGTACCATCTGCAACAACGCGAAAACATCTTTCAACTTATGCAACTATATATAAATCCCAATAAAAATGTGAAAAAAAAACTCGCTAAAGAGTGAGAAATATTGTAATACAATATATATTTGCTTATGAGTTTCATGTGACGTCATAGGTTCATGGTGAAACAATATATTAGGCAATAGGCGGCGGTGTCTGTAATGAGTTACCGGTTGTGACAAAGGCTTTATTCCGGTTTCAACGTTTGTGAGACTTCCACGTATGGAAGTATTAATCGGCGATATTCTACGTCCAGGTATCTGCCTGCGCTCTATGGAAAAAATGATCACAGGCAATTTAACATTTAATTAATGATACTAACGTGTGAACTTGAAACATTTGTTTCAATCTCTGATGAGGTGGTTAGTCACTGGTGATGTCGTATATGCCACACCCCTACGTAGTTAATTGAAACGAAATATTGCATTCAAGCACCTTATACGACGTATCTCACTGGAACTTGCAATATATCGCAGGCTCGACAACAGGCGTTGTTTGGTCTTTGGATTCGCCTAATTTGCTACACTCAGTGATTTGCCACATTTGTGTCAATTCGTGTGTCTGATTACACTGATTGTGCACTGATCAAAATAACTACCATTTCTCCAATATTTTTTAGTATCAATATAAACCACTACGGAATGGCTTCAGAGTAAGTACGATTGTGAAACGGTTTATTTTCCATATAAATCGTTAGAAATGAATTGTTACTATAATATTGTGTTGATTGTTGTAAGAATATTAATTATTAGTCTACCGAGAGCATATAAAGATTACAATGACATCTTTCATAAATTTTAATATCTATAGTGACACGTTGCATCTGTAGTTTTGTTTATTTTATAGTATATTCTGATAATATTTTAGTTTGTACTAGCGATTGTTTTAAACATTGCTTTATAAATGTTTGGAATGATCTAGATTTTATGATTTTAGATAGAACCTTCTGTATTAATCACATATATTATATATTAATTTAATACTGTGGAAAATTTTTCTTTATATAAATCATATATTGTTTGCTATATGGTCTTCTAAGTTCTATCACTTTACACATGATGTACTTAACACTTTGACCCAAATTAAAACCTTGATTTTATCTAATCTTTGATCCTAATCTAGGTGACATATGTGTATGATAGCTTAGAATACTGGAACAATTGATATTTGCTGTCTATGCATTGCTTTTGTGTGCACATATGCTTGTAAGCCATTTCAAAAATAAATATCCTCAAATATCCCAAATACTTTAGATTCAAACCACATCCACAGGCTTCCCAAATTGCCACCAGACTCTGGAATGCTGATAAAAATAGACTGACCCCGGGTGTTGATTATGACCTTGACCTTCAGGGGTACACTAAGAGTTACCAAAGAACAGATCGAGCTGAAAACCCACTTTTTAGCTGGGTGAAACCTGAGGTTTTTGAAAGGCCTACATATAAAGGTGATCTAATCTAGTTATTGTGAATTTGTATGTAAATAAAAACACTATGTTTATAACTGAAAAGATGAAATATTACTTTTACGCAGCCTTTATTGCATTACTGGATAACTATGAACGTGACACAGGCCTTGCTGAAGTTGTCACCCAAGAGGAGATTAATGAGAATCGAAGGTTTATTGATCTCATCATGCAAACTGAACCAATGAAAATTGCCCATGAAGTATTAGCCAAGTATAAAAAATCTCCACCAGATGTTCCAGGTTTTAAGCATCAGCTTTATCAGATCTGGTTTGAGCTGTACTCAAGAACCAAAGGAAATAGGTAATCATACAGATTATTCAGCAAAAACACAGAAATACATATGTGATTGAAATAGGCAATTAAAAAAGTACACAACATGATGTTTTTTATCAACAATGTTATTAAACTGTGAAGGATTTTTTTGTATCTTTGGCCATGTAGATCATTGTAGAGTATATTGTATTATTTTTCATCATTTTATGTGGTTAGAAATAAAGATTCATCTGGATTTGAACACGTTTTTGTTGGGGAAAGTCGAGCGAAGGAAGTAATTGGCTTTCATAACTGGATTCAGTTTTATCTTCAAGAGAAGCGAGGAAATGTTGATTACCAGGGCTATATTAGAGGTCGAGGATGCCGTGGGGTGAGATTGATAATTTGTTTTCTAGAAATCTTTATACTGATGTGCACCACCAATACATGTACGTCCACTTGGACCTTGGTACTCTTACGTCGGTGATTTTTCCCAACTTTATCTATCGATGTGTATTCTAAAAGTACGATATTTTGTTAGGTCGCGCAATGGCATTGACAGTGTTATTTTCCAGAATGATGACATGCAGTATAAAAGTGAAGACTGACAAGTATCTCTCTAACATCTTCACTTCGTTTTCTTTGTAGAAACCAAGTGAAGATACTCATTTGATTACGATTCAGTTTCAATGGAAAGATCAAGTTAAACCAATGGGGAGTTCATTCATAGGAACCAGCCCGGAATTCGAGGTTGCATTGTATACAGTTTGTTTGTTGATGGACTCGTCTGGCAGTACGAGCCTTGAGATGGAAGACATGGATCTTACGATAACCACTCATCGCTTCATTGGCCGAGGATCGAATAACAGAGAAAAACATTTCATCGCTTCTTCGTTTCCAAAAGCTATGTGAAATGATGCAATATTCCGTTCAATGCTTCTGTGGAAGTTCAGAATACAGAAATTTCAAATAAATGCGCGATATTCATATTTTTATCTTCGTCGAATCAACGCAGTTTGTATTTTATTACATATTTTAATAAATGGCAACGTGGCAATGAAAATGTGTTTTTATATCAATCTAAGAATATTTAATATAAAATTAAAATGAAACTTCTTTGTGTTTCCTCCAATTTTCGATACTCTAAAATTCAGTAATCGGCAAATGAAGGGGTCGCCGGAAGATTTAAATCACGTGTTTTATCCCAATACATCTGCATCATTCTTAACGAGCCAGGCCAAGCCCCATCCCTGGGCCCTCAGACATTATAATAGCACCTGTTTTGAAGTAGAACAAACCATTTTCTCGGTATGTTCTCTACAAACATATACGAGAAGTTCGCGCTGCCTCTGAGTCAAAACACGTACACTGTACTCATTATTTCAATACTTTTCCACGTTGTTTGTGGAGTGATATCAATCAGCGGTAATTTGCTAGTTCTACTGGTCTATGGAAAACGTCTTCACGGCCGTGAGACGCGGAGACCACCGGATTTGCTCGTTGCAAATCTGGCCGTTTCAGATGTGGCTGTTGGCTTGTTTCTTCTTCCTCTTATGATCGTAACAGATATTTTTATTGCACTGGGCCACGTTTTATTCCTTCGTGCTGTATTGGAATCTCTGTTTATGCCACTTCTCTCCACAGTCTCGATATGGACCGTGCTAGGAGCGAGTGTGGATCGTTTTATTTCGATAAAATGGCCGCAGAGTTATAAAACTACCCTATACCGTACACGAGTGTACAAGTGGATCTGTTTTACCTGGATGTATGCCTCAACATGGATCTGGTTTCCATTTCTTCCAGGTAATGGAACAAACCATTTCGCTACTTATATTATTTGATTTCACAGTTTTTCAAAAGAATTACATGTAGATGGTTTTCAGATCTTCTGACACTTCTGGGGTGGGGATATTAATATATTCATGTTTGCATGCCGCAGAAAATAAAGATTACTCTAGCTCTCTCTTAGTTACTCTAGCTCAGGTTTCTGCCAAAGTATAATTTTAGGATTAAGCATTTGAATGATTTAAATAATTATGTTATTCATTGAGTATCACCTCGCCTGTATCATATTTCTACTTTATATATTTCATAATGCAAATAACTAATTCATTCGCACTGAAAATGGCTTAAAGTTAGGTCGAAACATATTTGCAATTAAAAATTTTGTCATTTATTTCTTAAATGCTTAATTACTCCTGTGCTATTCAGATCATATGGTAATTTTAGGATTCATCGAGAGAGAAAAGTATCAGTCTACATTCTGTATCTTGCATCATTAAATTCATTCTTGGGGTCCAATTTATGTTCAGTTAAGGTTAGTTTCCATTCAGGAAAATTCTCCTTTGGATCGGACAGGACAGGAAAGTTTCCTTTGTCTAAACGACGCCTGAGAACTTACCGACAAAGGAAATTTTCCTGTCCGTTCCGATCCAAAGGAGATTTTTCCTGAATGGAAACTAGCCTTTAGAGTTATCGTGATTATTTGGACACGACGGGAATGATCAGTAGACCGCGAATCTCAGACCATAAGTATCTTAATATACTGAGCCGGTGTCGTTTGAGTCTACTGCATAAACTAAAACGATGATCATTATTGTCATGTTAATCATTAATGTACGTTTCCAGGTGTTTTTGGCAAATACATTATAATGATTCGCGCATTTGTTGGCTTCGGCGTGGCCTGTGCTATCATCTGCAGTTGGATCGCGATCTATTATGAGCTACGTAAAATAAGAAAGAGAGTCGGCACCGCCGCGGTCAATCACAGAATGTGGCACCATGGCGTGCAGAAGAAAGTGGCTAAGATGTTCTTCTGTGTTATGATAAGTTTATACGCTTGCTACACTCCTCTGTGGATCCGAGCAATCGCACATGGTTTTAAGGCTTTAAATTATCCAGAGTATGAAATCATTGCTGTCTCGCTGATCCTCGCTAATTCTGCCATAAATCCTATCATATACAGTTTTACCAATAGGGTATTTCGCTCTGAGCTTTTTGGCCGCAACTCGCCATAAAAATGAAGAAGTGACGGTGAAATTAGAGGACTTTCGAATGTCGGACTGTGCAATGAGTCTCAATGCAAAGTCCGACATCCCGTAATTCCTGAATGAGGATACGAGAATATCTACACAGGAAGACATTCCTGGAAAGATCCTTTCGAAGTGTTCTCATGGCAACTATAACACTGAAAAATCTCCCCTGTACAAACTTACACATCACTGACAAGTAGATCTTAAGCCTGGTTCCGACATCCGCGATGTATTATTCATTTGTTATTTTAAATGACGAAGAAAATTTATTCAAAACTATTCAAAATAACAAAGCACACTTTATTCATCAATGATCACCGACAATACTCACAATAGCCATTGTACTGAAGATGTGCACTTTGCATAGATAGTATAAATCATTATACACGAATATGATAATATTATTATAAGAACTGAACTACATAATATTATAATTATTGAACTATGATTAGCAACTATATGGTCATTGCACACGAAAATGTTTCACAACTTTTCTCTGTGTTCAAATATTCAAATACTGAACTCAGCTCTTAAAGCGTCTGAAAACAGACGGGTGGTTTATTTAATCCCAATTCTAAAGGAGTAAAACTCCCCAAACTCTCAGGGAGCCAAAGCAAAAACGTATTCTAGTTCGTGAAGTTATTCACCAGATTGTGTATTTGTTGTACATGGCGTATTGCCATGCCTCCTCCCCGTCTTCGTGGAAGATATTCTGAACTCCGTTTGGTATCTCTGGATGTCGACAGAAGTACGCTTGCACAGCCACATACACAGAAGTAAGTGCTCCAAATATCGCGATCTCCAGTAAAACCATTGATACTGATACGACAAAAACCTTGTTGTCCTGTTTCCCCCTCAAGGCTCAAGCTATATAGCAATTCAAACAAAAATTGGTTTTAAATTGTTGTTTTAAACTGCAGTCTCGTTAATAGCGCTTGACAGACTGGTGTTTCATGAATGCTACTTTGACACTACAGGCTGGCAGATATAGCTATGCCTATGCCTATGGTACCTGTTGTGGTTATGTAAATTATCGTTGTTTGTGCACTTATAATGCATGATCTTAAAAGCAATATTTGCGAGCTTCTTTGAGTATGATTCAATGATGCGAGGTTCAGTTGTCGATAACCATGAACTGTTTACGAAACCGAGGGCAGTTCTGAATGGTGCCACTGTTTAGAAGAATGCAAACATATGTGGGGATATTACTACAAGCAAAACATCGCCTGTAAAAATGAGCAATTCTGACATGCTGTAAACCTTGGCCAAACTTTAAATTTAGATTACATTGGGTTTTCCCAAGGTTTTATAGATTCAGCTTATATTGTCTGCTTATATTGTCTGCAAGAGATGCTCACATTAGTACAGTTCACTGTGTACTAGCTACTATGCAGACTCGTCTCTGAATTCTCCTAATGCTAATTGTAGTTCACATCCGGTTTTACCGAGAAACGTGTAACACGAGGCTTACGGATGACTGACTCGAGTGACTTCTAAAGTCCACGCAAACAAACAAATTCGAGGCTGGCTTTGTTTATCAAAATATCAGTTTCGTAATAAAATTGCTTCACTTTGCTGCGATAAATAAAAAGCTCGGGTTTTTATAATGGTAAAGCAACATACTGTGCGACTGACTGTTGAAAATCAGTCTGGTTTTGCAATGAAATTTAAGGGTGATTGGTTTGATAGTGGTCGCTTAGCAGACACGTACAAATGGCCTCAGAATGTAGCAGATGGCAGACATATGGATATCTTAAGTTACGAAAGAGACAACTCCCTGGCTGGCTGCAGTGGCTACACCAGTTATGACATCAATGGTACAACCATTACGTTTGCTTTCAGCAATCCGACCTCAGGGAAGAATAAGCTGGGGGTTGGCGTTGGAGGCAAGGCGGTTTGGCAAGAAATGAGTCATCATGATTATGACGAATTTACTCTCCATGTTCCTGTGTGTTCCGTCACGTTACGGTTTGTTTGCAAGTGCACTGGCTCCACAACCAATCATGCTACAGTTAATATTTATCACACTTAAATTTAATGACGTGTGATTTCAGTCATCGACTCAAATGAATTTGGACATCTCCAGTTTGTTAATCAGTTGGTTGTAAGAAGACGATCATTATTGATGACTTAGTTTGTACTAAACTTGTTGTTAATTAAATGTATGTGTGGACATGACTATAATTCGTCAGAAACTTACTCGTATTTATTTTAGATGCACAAATTATATCAACTGTGACTGAGACAGGGATTGTTTCAAAACCCTAAAAGAATATCAAAACACTAAAATTTCTCGCTAAAAACACTTAAAAAACGTTTAGGCGTTTAAATCTTGTCATTTCCAAGCGTGTGCTTTATTAGTCGTTTTCTATGCATATACTTGTTAGGGACCGCCTCCCGAGACCAGGAAAAGCTTAAATACGTTAAATTTATCTTCGCTCTCAAGGCTTGCCACTGTAGCTGATTCGTCTATGACGCTAGGCGTGTGGCATACAGCCCACTCTGTTTCTCACTGAGACGTAACGGTTAGGTGCACATACATCATGGTCTGGGGGCCGTAGTGCATCTCCCCCTTAGACGGCCGTTAAGATGTGAGTTATGGGGGGGAGTTCTTCCTATAGCAACTGTCCTTGCACCTTTCGTAGTTGTAATCTATGCTGGTATATCGCAGCTGGTTGTAATATCACCGGTTAGATTGTGGCATAGAGCTGGATGATCTCTTTTGCGTGTTTTTACGTTTTCCAACTTTTTTTTTTGCCGTGCTTTCCAAATTTTTCTTTTACAAACAAAACAAATACTGGTATTAAACATATATGGACCGGATATGGTTCGAAAAAAAAATTATAACAACTAAAAACCACCTTAATTACCCCTGAGTACTCTCCCCAGTCTCTGCATCGCTGAATCTCTGAAAGAAACAATAGCAGAGATCATTCATAAACATCAAACATTTATCATCAGCATTTTCATCAACCTTACAGCAGTAAAAC